AGAGAAAGGGACTACACCAACAACCCTTTTTATATGCTCTGTGTGTGTGTGTGTGTGTGTGTGTGTGTGTGTGTGTGTGTGTGTGTGTGTGTGTGTGTGTTTATGGGGCTTGAGGGATGGCTTAGCAGTTTAGAGTGCGTGCTGCTCTTGCAGAGGACTGAAGTTTCATTTCCCAATCACCCACATTAGGCAGTTCACAACTACCAGTGACACTGACTGCAAGAGAAGCAATGCATCTGGCCTTTACAGGCACCTACATTCAGTACATGCATATGCACACATAAGTAGCATAATTTAAAATAAGTCTCTAAAAAGTTTTCTACATGGTTGCACTGTAGGTAGTTTAATAAGTATCATAGAATTCAAGTTATATAATGGTCAGGTATAACATCAATGAGAGAAATAATACAGAATCCTGGCATTTAAGGATTTGACCTTGGCTTTCTTGAGTATTGAGTGTTACTGAGTATTATATGCTGTGGGGTTGCTGGTAGGGAAGCCTGGCTGGCTGGTTAACAGTCCCACTCACCCATCTGGACAGCAGGTTTACACATCAGCCTTGGTGCTAAGTTCCTACTTGCTCCTGTTGTTATTCACATGTAACTACAAGGAAACAATTTATGTACATGCATACGTAGTCTTTGGTTTTGTGCATGCTTGTGTGAAATGTTACTCCAAGGAGAGAACACCATAGGCAGAGAGAAAATGTTTACAAAGCATTATTTGATAAAAAATGTTTATCATTGCTATGACCACAACCAGCTAGATAAACTTAAAGGGAATCAAAGACTTGGTTTGGCTCCTGAGTTCAGAGTTGTCGGCCCAGGTGACAAGAAGGACAGGATGGTAGTTAAGTAGTTCTCCGACAGCAGTGTTCTGAAGGGAAAACCTGGGAAGCACAGTGAAGAAATCCTAAGGAATCCCTCAGCTCTACCAGGGCTCATTTGCATAGTAGAGAATTTGTTCTGTTGTGTGTCTCTCATTCTATTCATGGGCTATTTCAAGGTTCTCTGTTACAGATTTGTCTCAAATGGTCCAGTTATCTCCAATATTGAAATAAATGGCAAAGCAGAATGACCTGGTTAGCCAAGGATGACCTTGAACTTCTGATCCTCCTGCCTCCATGTCCCCAGAACTAGGATTATAGGTTTGCCCCACAGCTGGATCATAGTTATGAGCTATTACACACAGCTCATTTTTCTTTAATTTGAACTTGCTGGTTCAGTAGTGAAATCTGTTTTTAGTTGGCACACGCCTTTCTTAAACAAAAGACTTCAAATGGAGGAACTATGTCTAATGAGGAATTATAAAATTATGATTATAAAATGTGTGTGTGTGTGCTTCTGTGGAAAACTTATAGGATTGTAAGGATTATTTCAGTGCTAATCTTGATTGATATTTTATTAATGCAAGAAGTGTCTGTTACTCGTTTTATCCATTCATTTATTAAGCATTTAATGAGTATCTCCTGTGTGCCAGGTACTGTTCTAGACTCTGGGGAATCAAAGATGCATCAGACTCAGTCTTTACCCCTGGGAACTCACACTGCTTAGAGAAGTAGTAAACAAATAAGTGTGATATCCTCTGAGATGGTGTATTTTCAAAGCCTTCCCTTTTCTTTCTCTGTAGCATAATATCCGAAGTACACTACATATTATATTCTCGAGTGAACTGATGTGAGGACATACTGTCATAATGTAAAGAAGAATGGTTTTGCCTGTATACACTGGTCCATAAGGGGAAGCTTCATAAGGGCACAGCTTTTGAGTTAGACTGAGATGGAAGTTGTTTATGGGAACAACTACGAGGGTTGGAGGGAAGCTGCATGACTTAGAGCTCTCGCTGCTCTTCCAGAGGCCTGCATTCAGTTCCCAGCTCCAGAGATCCGATGGCCTGCCCGTTGGTGGTCTCCACAGGCACCTGTACACACAAACACACACACGCTTACACATACATTTGTAAGCCTTTAGAATTGTGAAAGGAGACCCTAGACTAGAGAGCAGCTAAGAGACATCAGAGTGCCTGATCTAGAGCAAGCCGCCTACAGGTTACGCCATTTGCAAGCTGCTTTCCCTTAGGTTATTTTCTTTAACCTTATGGTATGAAAAGTCCATGAGATGGGCTCAGATAGCCACACGCTTGAACCTTGACCATAATGTAGGTTGAGCTGAAGAAAAAAAATGTATTTCTGGTTAGCTCTTACTCCATATATAAGAGGATTCAAAACCAATTACAAAGTGCTATTTTATAGAATGTTGTGATTCATCTGGTTTTCAAAGTTCCGGTCCTATTCATTTTTTTAATTGATTGTTCATTTGTTTGTTTGTTGGAGACAAGGTCTCTTGTATGCCAACTTGACCTTTCTCTTTCTGTAGCTGAGGATAACCTTCAGCTTGTGATCCTCCTGTCTTTACTTTCTAAGTGTTGGAGTTATGGGCATGTGCCACTGCACCTAGTTTATACACCCTACCAACTGAGCTACATTCCCAGTCCTCCAGTCCTTTTTAAACATTCATATAACAGAAAATAAATGGAAACTCCGAAGCATTTCATCTCTGTTATAGTTAAAAGGGTTTCTCTGTGGCGCTTTGGTGCCTGTCCTGGATCTCACTCTGTAGCCCAGGCTGGCCTCACAGAGATCCACCTGGCTCTGCCTCCCAAGTGCTGGGATTAAAGGCGTTTGCAACCGCCGCCTGGCTTAAATTCTTTATATACTAAAATGTTTGATCGAAATACTCTGAAGTATGCCAGGCATGGTGGTGCAGGCCTGTAATCTCAGCACTCAGGAGGCAGGGGCAGATGGATCTCTTGAGTTTGAGGAGGGCCTGGGTTTTGTAGTGAGTTCCAAGACACTATCTTTGATACTTTTAAAAATTTTTAATTGTAGAACTTATGCAAGGTATTTATGGCATTCTTATGGAACTCATCTTTATTGAACTTTATATCACTGATAAATTGAAACCAGAGTAATTCTTTTGGAAGAAAGTGGCTGGGGAAATGCAAATATTTATTTCTGTGCTACTCCATGCTTTGTAGCTGCCAGATAAATGCCAAATTCTGGAAATCTGTTTCTGATGTTAAGCTTGGTAAAGGCCCATCACTAAGTCCCGAGCTTATCTCAGCCTGGACTGGCTGTTTCTTACTTGGTGTGAGCTGTTGGGGGCATGGTTGTTCTTCATTCACATTCTTGGATTCTCAAGTTTCAGGAGCTGAGATTTGGTTTAGTTGTGTTTGTTTGTTTATTTGTTTTCAAACAGAACAAAACTAAAAAGGAAGGAACTTTGAGGTTTGAACGCTACTACTTAGAGGCACCAGAACTGTGTTTGTTACCTTGTCTCAACAAGCTGGTTGTAATTCTTACCTTTTGAATGGATAGTAGTGACAACTTTGAGTTATGTAGATCGAAGAACTTTCACTTCTTGATACTGTCGTTAAAACTAGCCAGACTTTAATAATAAGGAATGTCACCAAAAAAACCAGAAGGTTTAAATTAAGTTAAACAAAATGTAAATTATTTCACGTGTGGCTGAATTAATTTTTCAGGATTTTCTCAAGATGCACTTTTAAAAAATCTTAATTATTTTATGTACAGAAAAGGCTGTAAAGTTTATAAACATAGAAAAAGTAAGAAATGTTTTTAAGTATATGTTTAATAATTCCAAACTGTGAATTTTCTTTCCTTTTTTCAGTTCTGACCGTCTGATAGAAGAAACAATAAGGTAGGAATAGTTTTTGTTTTACTTCGTTGCTGTTTGTTGCACAGATCAATGAACAGATCAAGTCAACCCATTCACAAAAGGGAAGGTCAGCCATGCTCCTCAAGAGATGAGAATTTCACTAGATGGTAATGCACTTACTTCTACTGTGGCCTCCCTTTATAAGGGACATTTAATCTTCCTAGTAACCGGCTCATGAGATAGACATTGATCAGCAGATACTGTCTCCAAAATGAAAAGAAATTAAGGACTTTGCTGTGGTCACATGACTAATAAGTACTCAACTCCCCAAATTGGAATTTCTTGTAACTCTAGAGCTGCAGTATCTTTACTGAACCACTGTTCTGAGACAGTGAGAGGGTACATCCTTCCTACTGAACCACTGCCCTGAGACAGTGAGAGGGTACATCCTTCCTACTGAACCACTGCCCTGAGACAG